ATCAACTGGCAATAACTGGCTAGCGCACCGACTGCCGGCGCGAAGATGCGTTTTTTTCACGTTCTTATCGCTAACGGCACTATTTTTTCCCGGCAGATGCTTTTAGCTAAAAGAATTTGAGACTGCCCATCATGATTGTCAGAAAATATCCTCTTAAAATTTCAACTTTCTAACTCCCCTGATTCCCGAGTTAGCAACTTACCTGACAAAAATTTTCACGGGTCCGTGCGTGTGTGCCGTGCACGCTAGGATGCTGATTTTGAAATCTTCAAATTCCGTACGAACGAGGAACATTCTTTAAAATTTCAGCTTTTTAGCTTTTCTGGTTCCTCAATCAGTAATTTTCCCACAAAAACTTTCACGTGCCCGTGCATGAATGCCACACGGAAGGGTGAGCGATCATTTTGAGGGTAGATGCCCGCACACAGTTAATCCTCACAGGTTTTCTAGGTCTCGAGATGAAGAATCAGTACAGGCATACCTGCACAGACATACACACACAAACAACCCGTCGACAATATGCGTTTTCTGTATTGCATAGATGCAAAAAGTGCATAAAAATGGCGAAAAAGCATACATTCAGTCTTAACTTTCTAATTGTTTTAACTTCCCTGCTTTACTTCCTTTCTATTGGCTCCTACACGTTTTAACTTCCCTTCTTTGCTTCCTTCCTCACTTTGTTTGCTCCTTCACTCATATCTGTTTCTTCCTGTCATCCGTCTTGCAAATTAGACACATGGCTACTCAAAACATGGCGGGTATGAGGCTGTACTGATGATTCCCACTTCTACTTGCATGCACTGTTCGGTCTGTGTATACAGCTAAGGGATGAAACATAGACTGCGCCATAAAATGTCTTCATACACATGACATTCAAGTGAAATCCTTCTATTCTTCTATTTCTAAAAATGAATGAAACAGTTTCAGACCTGTCCAGTGGAGCACAAGTGATTATAGGTTTATGAAGATCGAGACTATCAGCAATATCCATTCTGACCCGTTCTGTTGCTGTAGCTGTCAGTGCCATTACCGGAACACTGGAATTCAGGATACGGCGAACATTCGCCAGTTTCCGATAGGAAGGCCTAAATTCATGTCCCCATTGCGAAACACAGTGCGCTTCATCGATTGCCAAAAAACCAACATCTGCAGGCGTACAGCAAAACATTAAAATTTAGAAACTTTTTCAACAATACCATTTTGGCAAGAAACATTACAAAAACATGGGATCACCATATGAAATTGCCCAAGGCAATCTTAATATTCTTAACATATACTACCAACCGGTTTAACGTAACTCTAAGAAAACGCTCATTATCATCCATGCCTTTTTTTTTTTTCTAAGCCGAAAACAAATACCTAAGCGTTGCAGAACATCAAAGAGTTCAACGTGATTGATATATTTGTTTAAATTTTAATCAAAATACAACAAAAATTTACTTTTGCCGATGCGTGGCAACAGCGAATCGCTGGAGAGAATAAATTCCGGAGTAACATAAAGAAGACGTAGATCCTCTGATGCAAGAATCGACTGCTTTTCGTCATAAGTTGTTTCACTATTTATACAAGCTGCCTTTATGCCATTACTCCTAAAAAGCACACAAATTCAGAAAATCGATTATGCAAAAAATAAAACCAAATTTAAAAAAAAATCAGCAGCAAACGATGAGTATCGGAGGAAGCCCGCGAAAAGCCGGCCAAAAAGCCAACACGAAGAAAGCGCAGAAAGGCAAATCTTGTCTTGAAAGGCAGATACACAGCAGATGTGCTGTCACGCTGAACCTTAAGCACAAGGACCGGTAGTGTAGTGGTAAAACATTGTGCTCAGACGTGAAGAGGAATGGTTCGATTCCCTCCCCGTCCAGATTAGTTTTTGAGAAAGGGCTCCGTTCATGACAATGAGGGCAACAGGGCCTGTGGTATCACAGATAAAGTAATGGTGTTTGGATGGTTAAAAAAAGGCTCTTATTAACAGACAAATTTTCCTATAAGGACTAGAGTTGTATGGAAACAAACCAATCTAATGCATTTTCAGATTTGTACAGACCGCCAACATTTTAAACATCAACTTGTTTCTGAAGAATCTTCCAAAAAAGCCTCAACATTTTTGCCAACGTGTTGTCAATGATAGCGTTTGTTACTTCTCGAGCTACCCTCGAATGTATCCGCCTTTCACATGAGTAAATAGGGAACTGTTTTTAAAAACGTCTTAACTCAATCCTACTATTTTCTTCTTTTTATACACCTTCCTTACTTTGGCACCCTAGATCAACCTGGATGTTACAATCGGCTTAATTTTTTTACTTCCAAAGCTCAGAAAAGAATGGCAGTGGTCAGCAAAATCAATAAGATCATCTGACCCCGTAGTGTCGCATACACAGCCAAACGTTGCGTGCAGCTACCCCGCGTTCTTCCACCTTCAGACATGCGCTTTTAATTTTTATAAATTTCAAAAAATGTTAGTCTAACACCACATCAAGCAACATTTTCCACGCATTTACAACTAGAAAACTTTACTGTATGAAGTCGAAATATGACCTAGGAAATAAAAACCTAGTTAGTGCGATATTCTCACGAATGCTGTCTCCTCATAACTTCATAGAATTACTATCCTTATCATATGTTAGTTTCCTCCTTTTCCACCTGCTCTATCACTCCTACTTCTTTCATGACA